TTATGGGTCTAACTTCAACCAATCAATCGATCAATGAATTGTTTATTCAGTATTGATCGTAATTCAATAGTTGTCTAAATTAAATCAACAACAATCTTTACAACCATGAAATAGAGAAATCGATAAATATTTGATTAAATAGTTTTGAGTGAACATTAATTGATTCGAATATTTATCAAGCTCTTAGTGGAAAGATAGGAAATACATTTTTTCTAATTACTAAACCAGTGATTTTACTTTTCAAATTGAAATTAAGTAATTGGGTAAAAAGTCATAATTTATGAGAGTTTGAACTACGAATTTTATGAGTAATTAAATGTGAACACAGGAAATAGATGTCCTACTGACTGATACCTTATTTGTTCTGCTCAGCTTTGTCGGTAATTCCGAGAAAAAATAAATAAGTAATTACATAATTACAGTTGACAAAAATAGAATAAAATACTTACAATAATTTGCCAATGATTAAAAGATTGAATTATATAAAAATGGGAAATTATTTGTATCAAACTAAAAAGATACATTTCCCACTTAGCCTTTTATCATCGATAACAGGCATAAGTAAGTAAGTAAGCAGGTAATAGGAACAATAGATATACTTTATTTATGGGGGACACATGAAATGATATTCTTCAATTCCTTTGTAAAACTCTTTGGTGACTAGTATTTAAACACAGATAAAATCTCCGAAAAAATTTTGCTAAACCATGCACGCTTGACTAACATTGAACATTGAACACTCAATCTATTATTGGATAACATTTTCAGTCAGTCAGTTAGTTAGTTAGTTACAACGTATTACTTCGTACGTACGTACATCAGTTCAGGTTGCCATACCACATTAAAACAGAGAGACATAATTTTCACTTCAAACCCCATGGTGGTAGAGATAGTAGTACTATTGGTAATAGAGAGAATTAGGGTTCCCCGATATTATGCAAGTAGTAGAATTCAGTGAAATAAAATTAGAAAGAGAAAGATAGAAGTGATGGGGAATTCAGAAGATTAGAATTACATAGAACACAATGCTTGGATGCACCTGCACCACTGCAAACGATTTTGAGCCATATCGTTCAAGGTCTCTAACCATCGGTTACTATCATCTCACTGACCCCAAACAGGTAGTCTACATCTACCAATATGACTTAGTACAGCTGTCACTGACTACATGAATTTCTGTCATGTTTTGGTTTGGCCACCCCTAGCTTTATTCCAACCTACTCCTACACTACAAAACATAACTCGTTAAGGCAGTTGGTGGTTAGGCAAACGTAACACATGTCCCAACCACCTCAACTGACGGAGCTTCAATACTTCATCTATTGATTTGCCATCCCTACCTAGCGCTCGTTTCATAACGACAGTACTGCTTACTCGGTTGTCCCACGATACACCAGTAATGCTTCTAAGACATCTGTGATCGAATACTAATAACCTAAAAATGTCTTCTACTCTCACCAGCTATGTTTCGCATTCATATGACACGACGAAGCGGATAACAGGCTTAAATAAATTAGATTATATCCTTTAAACAAATAACCTTCCTAATGTATTTTTAAAATGTTGTTTTTGTCGACATAATAGTTTGAAACTTAAACAATTTTGTACAGTGTTGTCGTCAAAAACTGCAATACACTGGCTTTATTCAATTCTTCCTAAAACTAGGTGTTTGTGTGTATGTTTTTCCGTATTGAACTTTTTCCTTTAAGATTATAAAATAAAGTTTTAGTTGTTGCTATGACATCGAGTAGTAAAACTTTCACTCTGATGACCTTTTGCAATTTGTTTGTCAAATAAAATCTCTATTTCGATAAATTTACTATGAAACTATTTTTTTTAAATAAAATAATGTAATCTTGAAAATGATAGATGGATAGATAGATAGATGTGTGGATGAATAAGAAGTGTATTCATTCTATCAGTCGTACCATTACAATATTAATTAATAATCATTATTACTATTATAAAGTCAGTAAGAAATGAATATTGTTTCATCAATTTATTGCCTTATTCTTATGTGATATAAAAAAAGAGAAGATTCAATAAATTAACAAAGATTTTGACAATCATTGTTTCTTACCCTTTCAATTACAATCAGGTTTTATTCTGTTTTTTCCTAAGAAAAATAAGTATCATTTCCTTTTTTCATAAGTTCAGGTCATCCTCATCATCATCATCAGATTACAATTTTTGATTACGTTAAAATAAATCATATTCAATGAATTGAATTAATGTAAATTGTAATAATATTTGGGAAAAATGAAGAGTTGAAAATACGCTAACTCTCTAGTGCAAGTGTGGAGGAACAAGATGATGACTGAATGCACTCAATATTCATCGTGATCAATTTTATGCAATCTCATCTAAATTAGCTCAGACTACCCCATGGATTTATACGACACAGTTTAGTTAAACTGTCCACATCTTTCTTTTAATCTGTTGCAGTTCAATGAGTTCAAATAGTGATATTATAAAACTCGATGTGTGTTGTATTCCGTTATACTCGTCATTTGATATGCTTGAATGCTATTACGAGTTCACCGTAGTCGGTAAACGAGTGAGAAGATAAATGGTCCAGTGACACGACAGGCTATTTAATCCCAGAGTCCCAATGACCCACCAAGTCGAGGAAGAAGTCTTGACAAGACATATAAAGTGTATTCTACAAACACACCCAGAAAATATGAGGTTAACAAGCATACAAATCGAGTTTATTTATACATGATAGAAAGGTCCTTAGGAGAGCCACAAGAATAGCGTACTAAAATAATACATCAACCAAGGACAGTCAAGGAATTTCCGGATGGGAAATGTAATCTCCAGATCAGCTGATTAACCTATGCGCGAAACCACAAAACCCAAAACTAGGACCTTTATCCAGTGAGTTCAGGGGATCTAACGTCCCCAAAATATTCGTATACAATCCCTATTTTACAAAACAGAAACAACTCAAGTGACCATATGATTTATTTCCCTAATCAATGAATAATAGGTATCAATGTATGTTATTCTAAGAAACAAATAAAATATATTTTCAAACATGGTTATGGAAATTAGTGTTTTTACACATTGAAATCACCAATCAATCAATCACTGTTAGACCACTGTTAAAAACCTGGAAGCACTAGATGGTTATTTCGTCCTACGAGGTGTAGGAGTCGTAAAATTCACACTGCTGATAAGTCCCACACCAGGACGAAACAGTAATCTTTCAGTGCTTACAAGTTTCTAATGGTGGTCGAACAATGATTGATTGATTGATTGAAGATTTCAATGCGTAAAAACTGGAATTATTGTAAGCAGTATATATACATATTGAATTCATATAACCGAATGTTTTTATCATTAGGAAAGTCAGTAAAAGCCAATTGACTAATAATGATTCAATGTGCGCTGTTAATGGTTACAATTTATGAATTGTAAAATACATGTAAAAGACAGCATATGAACATTGTGTGTAACAACAAATTATTCGAACTAGTAATGATGCATAGGACTTTGATTGTTAACTGGACCTTTCTAAATGAGATTTCTATCCCATTTGTCAAAATAAATAATATATTCTGTGATTACACAGTGAATCATATCTACTACAATATCAGTATCTTGATTCCATTCGATTAATTTAATTGTTCTTATAAAGAGGCAGAGATTTACATGTAAACAAAAGCATTTCTCATAATTAATCCTTATAACCTTAAATGATATAAATTCTAATCTATAACTATGGGGTACTGATAGAAATCTCTCCGCCTTCAAATGCGATTACCGTCGAAATCGATTAATCCAGTTAGGGTTGACAATAAACTTCCACCATAAAAATTATATTGCCAAGACTTAATAAAATGATTAAACAGTAAAAATATATCTACTTGTCATATGGCTGCATTGATGACAACTCTAAAAAAACAATTACTATTTATAATTATTGAATTGTATTACGGCGTTGTGAAGATCGTTAAGTTACACATTTGAAATCATGAATCGATCAATGCTAGATCACCATTAGAAATCTGGGAGCAGTGAACGGCAATTTTGTCCTTGCATGGGAGTTATCAGCAGTGCGTATCCACGACTCTTGCACCTCACAGGATTCGAAGCCAAGACCTTTGGTCTTGTACGCAAATGCCTAACCTCTGGACCACTAAGCCGGCATCCAACCGTGTTAATGTCTAACTTCGATTAATTCACAGTTCTGGGGAACCTCATACACTATCTTCGGTAGTTACTGTCTACACCCGAACACGTTGAACTTATTGAATCGTTTTCAACAATCAATCAATAATGTTCAAATTACTTTTTACTTTACTGTTAAATATTTACATGATATAAATCATTCTCAAGCAGAAGTCGGCTTAAACTATTTACTTACGATTGCATTTTGATTAATTTCAGTTGGCATATGCTTATCCTGCACTGATTATATTCAAATAGCTATTTCGTACTGTGTTATGTAGAGTAGATGTATCATGAATAACCGTTGTATTCAAGACTCAAGTTTTATCGCATTTAGGGCGGGTTGGCTCTATTAAGCTGGGCCCCATTGGTGTTCCAATGAAGACTCAAATCAAATTTATACTTAGCTTCAAACGGCCATCACATTATATGCTGTCTGAATTACCTCAATTAACCACTACCTTCATATTTATTGAATAATCTAGCAGCTATTTGGATTCAGTAGTTCAGTAAGTAATATATTGCAATTCGAAGCAATAAAATACTCTATTTGAATTCTAAAGTAAGCATCACTGCGATTCAGTTACATCAAATCAATAAGTTTCAAATAGGAAGAAATGTAAGTCTTTGATTCCACTTTAAATTATAGTCCACTGTTATAAAAATGTAGCATTTTCATTTTCGTGGTTTAACCAAATAATCAACACAAAAATATTTAATTGGTTCAATGTAAACTTGAACACGTCCAATGTTCAATGTTATCTACATAAACGTTTATTCAATATTTGTTTAATTATATATAAAACAAATAACAATGAACTTACTTGAACATATAATGGTTCAATACCGTAAGTTTCAAATTTTGCAGCATTTTCAAGAAATTTATTCTCAGCCTCATTCATTGACATACCTCTACAGGTAAAAAAAGAAAAAAAATTTTAAATTAATTTAAGAAAACAACTGTTCAATTCTACGTTTCATCTGATTGAAAGAAACATAATAGTTCGAGTGAATACTTGCATCTAGGAAACATTTGAGATGTTCAAATAATCAATAATATTGATTTCAGTGCTGACAATTTGTTGGGGATGTTAGATCCCCTCTTATTTTGGATTTCACGTTTGCCAGCATGGGCTGATCAGCTGACCTTGAGATTTCATTTCCCACCAAAAAAATCCATGGCTGTGATTGGCCACTGTGTATTTTAGTGTGCTATCCCCGTAACTGTCCCAAGGACGTTTCTATGATGTATAAATAAACGAGAGTTGTGTGCTTGATTGTATTGTGTGATTGCTGGGTGTTTGTAGAATATACTTTCTACGCTTATCAAGACTTCTGTTTTTCAGTTTGGGATTCAAGGTAGCCTACCTGAACGCAGGTAACTGTCTCATTCTTTTTTATCGACTAAAGTGAACTTGTAATAGCTTCAAGCGTACCTAGTGACGAACGTAACACAATTTAACTGACCGGTTACACATAAGAGTGTACATAACTACAAATCATACGATAAAATGTGTGAAAGCTAGTGATACTGTCGGAGTGCTCAACTCATTGTAACACTGGCAAGGTTCGAGACTGAAATTTAATTATGATGTCACTTTTTCACTAGTTTTAGTAAACGAATATTCAAACGAAATGGCTATTACATCATATTTAGTTGGTACTGGTCATCATGTTGTTAGAAATTTAGCTTTTAAACTTATGTATGGGATCCGATCGAACTAATCTTTATTCTTCAAGAACTTATAGTCTACACATGGAGTAAGCACTTGAAAGAATAAACACATCATTAAAAAGTATCACAATTTATGACATTGTTATCAGTTTACCAAAAATGATAATAATACTTATTATATTGGTTCATTCGTGAGATTTACTGACTATTTCCAGGAGATATTTCTGAAGTTCTTTATTGACATACCATTTATCGATTTGATGCTATTAACTACATGGTATTTCATATTATAAATAATTTTTAATGTTGAGGAACAGATTTTCTTCAAGCCTTATTGCAAATTTCTGTCTCACATTTACTAAAACTTATCAGTATATTTATAAAAGTTGAAATGTTACCAAATAAAATTATCCTGATCAGAATTTACCACTAACTGAACGTTAAGTCACAGTGATTCATTGTAACAACAGCAAAGTATTTCTAACAGTTGATGGAGAAAACTTAGAGTTGAAGTGGATGATTGTTGTGGTGTTTCGTTGTCTGAGCTGGATTGTGCTGATGATGTTGTTGTTCAGAAGAACACTGAAAGCTCCACAACCAAAACATCCAGCTCACATGATAAAACATCACAACTATTTCTAACAGTTATCATATTAATATATGATAAATAGTTATACAATACACGAAACTAGTTTCATTTAGTTGTTAACTGATTCTAACTGATTCTTTTTTTTCTACAAAACGTACCTACAAATTTAAGACAACTTGTAGCCCCTTTATAATTGTTGTTTAATGGTTTTATAATACATTTCAATATGTACACAGGAAAGAAAATCACAATAACATTTTTCTTAGATAATTGTACTTTTCTGAAAAAGAAAGAAATCATTTTCGTTCAAGGGTTTTATTTCTAACTTTATCCTAACATAAATTGTCATCATAATTTGATGACTGAATTTTCATTGCACACATTTTATTCAATACTAAAATCATGAATCAATCATTGTTAGACAAATATCAATAAAAACCTGGAAGCACTTAAAGATGACCGTTTCGTCCTGATGCGACACTTATCGGCAGTGTGCATCCACGACTCCTGCTACTTGTAGTAATCGAAAACAGGACCTTCAGTCTTGCGCGCGATCTCATTTATTTGTCCGAGGCATTTACTGCCTACACCCGACAAGGTTGAACTCTACTAGTCACTTCTCCTCACTAGAACACCGAGAACCTCATGAAGCTATTCACTAGTGAGCACAATGCTTGTTTTTTTATTTCAGTAATAAACAACAACCTCCATGACTCTATGATGAAAAATTTTATCAGTTGCTAGTCACTGCTAATTTTACAAAATTATAGAAAACGTTGATATTGAGTTGTTTATTATATTTAAATTACAAAATCCAAAGTTATTTGGGTTATTTGTATTGATTAAATTGTAAATTGCAAATTGTATATTGTAAATTGTACAGTCATGAACAAATTGAAGACAATTCTGTGTTTGCTCAATTTTTATTTGTACTTTCTAGTTCAACTTGATAACCTTCAAAAATCTTTGGTTAATAAGGGGAAAATAAATAAGATATTGGCCAATCAGACATTGTTTAACTGATAAGCCCATCTGGTGGTAGGTCAAGATTGAGTTCCTTTTTCTGAGTAATGAGATAAATCTCATCAGCGGAGAAAAAGTAGTTTATATTTCCAAACAATCACCACAATTATATAAATCAACCGTCTCTTGTGAAGAGTAATTTTATATTGATTTACAGGAGAGAACCAAGGAGACTGACTATGTGTTACTTTTCAAAGTGAACAATTCGGCTCAGTGCTATGGTGCAACCACACAAGTACTTGTTGGAGTAATTTCCAAAGAATATATACCTATAAATGAATGTACGTGAATGTATATATTACAGACAGACAGACAGATACAACGCAGAACTTCGTACATAAGTACATCAGTTCAGGTCGCCATACTACGTCAGCACAGAGACGTAACTTTCAGTTCAAATCCAAGAGTGATAGCGATAGTAGAATTATTAGCAGCAATGGAGAAGATTAGGGAGCAAAGATATGATTCGAAAAGTATAATTCAGTGAGATAAATTTAGAAGGAGAAAGATAGAGATGATGAGGAATTCAGAAGGTTAGAATTAAAAAGCACACAAAGAGGTATATATCACTCAAATCAGTTTATCAGTAAAAAGCTTCCTTCTTGTTTTCTGCCTTTAGACTCCACTAGACAATTACACTGACGAACAGAACATTTGGCTGTCAGTAGCAGTATATATAGGACAATTCCCTTACAAAACAGGATAAACTACTTTGAATCGTTCTTTAAATACAAAAAATTTATAGGACACACCATTTACATCAAGATCTATTATAAAGCTTAGTAGAAAATAGTTTACGAAGTAAAAAGAACTAGCAAAAACTTAGACTTCGTAGTTTTCATTAGTGATCATTTTATTCGACGAAATTATAACTTCTTAAACACAAATCCGTACACCTAGTTGAAATATGAAATTCGTACATAAGTCGTTAATATCGGCTATAGTTTTGAAATCAATCAATCTCATCTATCATCGTGCCGGATTGTGTAAACTGATACCTAGTATTTGTATTAGTTAGTTAGACAACCAGTGAAAATCATTCATTCATCAGATCAAATGGGATCGAAAGTAAGAATTTTGAGTTTTGATGGAAGTGTTTGACTACATAACTAGTACGGAGGTATTCCATACAAGGAAAAGATAGTTGCCTACTTCTTTCGAGTCTCTATAATCATTTACTTAAGCTCAATCAATTATGTGAAGTAACTCTTGTTACTTTCCATTCTTCTCTTCTCATATGAACTATGTAACTGACAGGAATTTTTTGTTTGGTTGACTAATTCGGCTCAATCAAAAGTACGTTATTAGACGAATATGTGTATGTGTACATAAAGAAGTGTCATCTCGATTTTTCTGTTTTGCATGCATATTAGTACATAAGAATAAGAATAATGTTGATATTACTTTAGATTTGATCTAGTTTACCCAGGAAATAATACAGATTGTATATTCGTTAAAAAGATTTACAAAATTTTACTTACTTAAGAGATTTATAAATATCTACAATTTTTGATTCTGTTTTCGGTGTAATATTAGCGAACATTTTTAAATCAGCCAATGAACCTTCAGGTCCCAAATAATCGGACAAGATATCATAGTCTCCAATTTCAGCTAAAAAGATATTTTTAATAAGAATATTTTAAGAGGAATAGTCAGATTATTATTATTATGCATGATGTAATCAATACAACTATAACAGAATCCTACTACTGACAGTAATCATTTTTTCAGTTATATAGATTGAAAACAAATGTGTAAAAATACAGATCTCCAAAGCTCTAACTGAAAATATCGTGACAGTGCTCACTAGTGACTAGCTTCATGAGGAAATTCTCGTAGTTCTAGTGAGAAGACGTGGTAAGTGGAGTTAGACCCTGTCGGGTGTAGGCAGTAACTACCAAAGACAAATGGGTGAGGTCGAGCAAAATCCCTAAATCAATCAGAGTTAGACATTAACACCGTTAAATGCCGGCCCAGGGGTCCGATGGTTAGGCGTTCGCACACAATACCGAAGGTCCCGGTTTCGAATCCTGCGAGGTTCAGGAGTGGTGGATGCACACTGTTGATGAGTCCCATACCAGGACGAAACGGCTGTCCAGTGCTTCCAGGTTTCTAAAGATGGTCTAACAATGACTGATTAATGATTGCAAATGTGTAAAAACACAAATCTACAAAGCTGTAACTGACAATAATTCATGCTTGAATAGAAGTCTCTTGAAATTCTATACAATAGACATATATGTACAACACATTACACTTCTTATCTCATTAGACTCGGAACACAGTTAACTTCCAAAATTAGCTATTCAGTAAGTAAAGGATCACAAACCATTTGTTTTCATTTAGTTGTTAGATGTAACTTAGCATTCATGAATTCCATCGAAAAACATAATTGAGGCAGGGCATAAGATTGACCATGAAGACAGTCTTCAAAACATTGTATAGCAATGTTGAAGGACGAATTTTGAGGTTTATTGAAGCTTTGGTTATTCGGTTAATTAAAACCACCGCCCTTATGTATACAGAAACAATTTGTTACAACCTTGAATTTATCCGGGTAATCTTTAAGCCTAGTGGGTAATGTGACAATTTCCTATCCTTTCTTATTCTTTTCATATTACGTTAATTTTCTCTCTCCTTTATTTACAATTAACACTAAATGTCTATTTGAACTTTTATTTAATTGACCTTTTATTAGTCTTCATATAAGATGCCTTTACAAGTGTACATGTGTGTGACCAGACTGTTCGAAATATGTATAGCGCAAATACATTACACTATTTTTCAGACCAATTAAGTCTTCACACTGTTCTATCAAAATTTATAAAAGCGACTAATTGTATTAAATTTCTGTTTCCATAGGGTTTTTGTGATAATAATGAAATGATTCCATTTACTTCACGAGCTGATCTTCAAAAGCAATGTGAAACACACTAATAATTATCTTTGAATGATAATTCTTAGAGTTCGGTTGAGAAGCCTCAACGAGTAGAGTTCAACCATATCAAGCATCAGTCAGTTACCTGCCGATTGCATCAAAAGACGGTCATACAGCATGCAACTAACTGACTGAATTCGAATATTTTAGTCCAGCACCGTAGTCTAACAGCAAAAAAGCACAAGCCGAGAATCCTTAAGGCAGTGAGCTTAGTCTCCGATGTGACCTGCTACTGAGGATACTTAAAACAGCATAAAACAATTATCCACTACTTCCTTACTGTCAGTAGTTGGCCAATTGGTGTCAATTCATGATATAATCTATCGTACACGTTATTAACATCGTATAAGAACTCCTAAAGTGTAACAATAAGCTAAATATTCATAAAACAAACACGCTAATCAATTATTATTAATCAATAATAAAATCAATTACTTTAATAAAATAACTAACCTTGTAATATACATGCAGCTAAGACATGCATTTCTAAATTTCTCCCAATTAATCTTCCACTATGTAGATCACGTCTTAATTGAAGATACAATAAGTATCTTTTGATTGATTTATTTTTTATATTGTAAATTTTAGAAAAAAACAACACAAAAATTATTATCTAACAACTATATATAAATATATATATATATATATATATATATATATATATATATATATAAATTTATTAGCATAAAAAAACTAAATTTTTAATGTCCGCCCAAAAGAGTCACATAACTGAATGTGATTTTATTTTGGTAATGTTTCATTTTCCAATTTAGATTTGGTTGAACCTGCTAAGCTTTTATTGCTATTCTAGACAATAATTTCATTGTATTAAAAAAATTTGTGCATCAGTCTGCATCATGTTTTATCAGTTGGAATCATTTTACGATAAAATTGATCAGCTTATCATTCAGTAATGCAGGATCATTGACGAACAAGGTGAAGCTGATGCAGAGGTGACGGAGCGAATCGACAAAGTAAGAGCATCATTTCTACAACTGAAGAATATCTGGAAATCAAAACAACTATCAGCTGTCAATAAAGTCACAGTTTTCAACACAAATATCAAGACAGTTCTACTGTATGTGGCAGAAACTTGGAGAACCACGGAAGCTGTCATCCACAAGATAGAGATGTTTATTAACAGTTGTCTATGCCAGATACTCGTCATTCATTGGCCAGACAGCGTCAACAATAACTTACTGTGGCCTAGATAGCAAACTAGATTCCGGAAGAAGAAGAAATTAAGAAGAAGCACTGGAAGTGGATAGATAGACATATTTAAAAGAATAGCTTGACAAGTATATAGAAGACATTATTTGTGAAAATTCAGGAAAGCACCCAACTATGTCACAAGGCAAACACTAACTTGGAATTCTTAAGGCTGAAGGAGGAAGACCAAAGGATACGTTACTCCGGGAACCGGAGAAAGACATGAAAAGAATGAGCAGTTATTAGATAGAAATGGGAATGAAGGATCAGGACGTAGTAGATTGGAGAATGCTGGTCGACGGCCTATGTTCCACTAGGGGCAACAGGCGTATGTAGGCAATTAATCATTTAACAATCATGTCAAATAGGCAATCATAAAGAATATTTAATCCGGCATAAATATGTAATAATTTTCAATACTGTCACAGTCCACATGAATCCAATAAAAGGAAACTAATTAGTGAGAAGTGGAGAAAGGTTGATATGATAATAACTGGAAACTTATTAGTAAAAATATAATTCATGAGGATCACCTGAAATGTTTGATAAACCCTTTAAATTCATGACTTGGACATAACTAATGAATGTCTAGTTTTATCCACTAATGTCCCCAAAAACTGATAAAAGTCATTTACTAGAAATGCGTGATCGAAACACTACATCTCTCAACAAGGCTCGTATTAAAAACTAAAAATTATAGGAACTGATAATTTAACCCGAACTGTCGAGATTTTTCGGATTCTTACACAATGTTGCATTAAGCAACGGTTAACAAATCACAAAGCATCTTCCATCAACCGCATTTAGTGAAAGTTCGCAGCTTTATCACTGTGTTTTGAACTACTAATCGTTTTGAACAAATCAAGTACAGTATATGAAACTATGAACTGTATTCAATGAGTAAAAATCACTTACCGACTTTTTTCTTGACGAAATTCATTGACTGGATCACTTGGATAATGTTTCACACGGAAATTTAATGATCTTGGACTAACATCTGAAAAAAGGAAAGGCACATAAATATTCATTGAATAATCATTTGAAACTTGGAATCATTGAATAGTGGCTAGTTTTTCCCTGGTATTTGACTACATATTTGTTGTTCACATCCACAACGCCAATGAGGATAAGATTGGTGACTTAGAGGTTTCAGTTGGACGGCTGGAATTTCAGACTACTAAGTCGATATCCAATAGTTCAATAGTTCTCATAGTCAAGCTTTGCTCGATTGACAATAATGTAAGTGAGTGTCTCACTTACCCACTCAATAGTGATATCCATGGTATACCAATCTGAACTCATGTACGTATGTACGTACGTACGAAGGTTTACGTTGTAACTGACTGACTGACTGACTGACTGAATGACTATCCATGAAAATGTGGCCTTTCATAATGTCATACATATTTCATTGGAATGATCTATGATTTATCTTTTCCAAACGTGTATTTGCTTCAAGCATTCACAAGTGTTTTCTTCGGAATATACAAGATTTCGATATGAAACTAAGTACCCATCATAAAAATACTCGTATTATAGAATGCACCTAAAGAAATTATCCTAATGTACAACCCCAATAATTTGTCGTCGGTGTGTAGACAATTGAAGAAAAAAACAGGATAATACACTTTAAAAACTTATTTTTTTTTGCTACAGCATGATTCACATTTTTAACTTGTATTTACCAAAATTGTCAGTTATATGATTCATTTTTCTGATATTTTCCTTAGTGCAAGCCTCTGTTTCACTTAAAAACTGTTGAAATAACTTCCATACTTAAATAATTTTAAATTATTCTATTTTTTTTCTGTTCGTTATTTCTTATGTTGCTTTATAGTCCTATATTCTATGTACTGATTAATGAGAATTTTTGCATCAGACATAAAGAAGTTACATTGACTAACTTATTCTCATCTGCTGACGAGGGAATTGATGGGTCAGAAAAGTTCTGCAAACGGTAATTGAATTCACATATCAAATCAGTTCGCCTAAATATTCATATTAGTTTAAGCTGAACAGCTTCCAAAGTCATTTCGAATGTTTCCTGTACATGACCATAACTCAATATTCTCTCTGATATCGAAGGGGATTTGTGAAGGGGAGTTATTTTCAAGTCTGTCTAAATTACTTTAAGAAGTTATCTGTGCTCAAATGAACTAACTAACTGAACTCTACTTAATTTAAAAGAAAAATGGATCAAGAATTTTAAGTTTACAAAACACAGAAATTCAGACTAATTCAATTCAGAAAATGGTAATAATAAAAGGTAGGGCTACATTTTGATAACTGTTATTTTCTCAATCAAGTAAAACTTGACGCATTTTTAACATTAAGTACCAGATATACAAATTATACGTTATAGTATCAGATTTAATTCATTTATTACTAGTCTAGAATAGATGACTTATGGTTAGCAGCGGAATCGAAGATGAACATTTCTTCCTATCTAGTATCCGTTAGTTGGATGCTATTATATCTCAATTTGATGTTCATACTGACGCTCGAAACTATTATGTTCCAATCCACTTGGTGCCATTCTAGGGTTACTGTCAGTTCTAAGCTCGGATAAACGAGGAGGGTCGGGCATATGGTTTGCTACTACCAAAAAGGTGCTAACCAAAAAAGAATTATTTCTTTTTACACACCAAAATAATGTTCACTTTTCAACTGAATACAGTTCGTCATCAACTTGTTCAATGAGTATGATGCCTATATCATTGAGAAAGAGTATTGAGTTTATTCCATTGTCTATATTCATAACTGCGCCTTGATCAGTTGTTACAGACATTCACATATATCATGTGAGGAATCATTTCGATTTCAATCAATCAACAGTAACGTAGAACTTCGTACGTGCATACATCAGTTCAAGTTGCCATACCACATAAACACAGAGAGATGCAACTGTAAATTCAAATCCCATAGTAGCAGAGTTGGTAAAAGTATAGGCAGTTATCAGAGAGATTAAGGTTCGAAGCTAATATTCGAGGAGTACAATCCAATGAAATGAACATAAAAGGAAGAAGATAAATGTGGTGGGTAATTCAGAAGATTAGAATTTGAGAGAACATAAAGAATGGTTGCAAATACGATACTTTAAACTATTTTTAGCCATGTCGTTCAAAGTCTCTAACTATCTTGTGATCTAGAATCTTCTCCCGCATATGATAAATATCTCAGTCAAATAGTATGTCATTTTTTATCACATAAAAATGCTTCTCACTATTGCTAGTCGGCTAAGTTATTCACTTGACAGAGTTACGCATCATTTATTTGTTCAGCTCATATCCTGTTTTGAATTATAGTATAAGAGTTGAACAGTTACATTGTTGATCATATCAGTAGTACGATAAAGTTTTAATAAATGGTTTTTTAAATGCACAACTTGTTATTAAAAAAAATGATAAATATTACTTACATTTCAACTGTTTATAAACACTTTTAGACATTTCTAGCCATTGCTATAAAATAATGAAATAAATTGACAAAAAATAAAGTCAGTCAATATCATGCAAGATTCGATTAAGTAATTCATACTTATTATGTAAGTTTTTTAGAATGATATACGTATTATCCTAATGAAAGGGTTAATAACAATAATAATATTTTAATTTTGTATTTTTTGTTCTTAAACTAATCAAAATGATTGAAGTTAGCAATTAAAGTTTTTTTTTAAAGATACCTAATTCCAACTGGATCACTGCTACAGTTCGTTTTAATTTCAAGTCTGAGTAAACATGGAGCTCTGAGTACAGGGTTAGTAAGCTCATCTAGTGAAAAAACAGAACCATGCTGAAAAAAATGCTAATCAGAAAGAATAATTTTAAATTACCAATAAAGGGAAATCATTTATTCACAACGCTGGGCCAAGAGATAATGGAGAATACGGTGAATGACATTCACACATGCGGTGAATACACAAATTTATTCGCTTCTATCGAATCCCATCGAAATCAATAAAGTTTTAGCGGTGATTAAGTGACAGTCAATTTTTAATGACTTAACCCTGAACCCATCTAAATGTCAAAATTATTAACTCTTACCTGAGATATGACGAATAATGAAACATCCTGTTGGAATTACAAGAAATATTTATTATTGGGAGTGTCATTTACCCTACTGCATATTTTTCAAGTGTTCTTTCTTGATATTTTCATGTTTTGTCATTGCTGATAGTTATTTCTCGTCTAACTTATTATGGCAAGAAGTCATGTTCGATCATAAATAACAAATTTGACTAATTCACAATTGTTTTATGGGGTTGTAGAGATTGTTAGTTACTCATTGAAATCATGAATTGATCAGTGTTAGAACACCGACATTAGAAACCTGGAAGCACTGGACGGACGTTTCATCCTGGCATGGGACTGACTCATCAGCAGTGCGCAGTCATGACTCTTGCACGTCGCAGAATTCCAACCCAGGACCTTCGTTCTTGCGCGCGAACGTCTAACTTTTAAAACACTGAGCCGGTATCTAACGGTGTTAATGTCTATTTTCGATCAATTCATGGTCTTGTGCAACCTCATACACTTCTTAATAGAACTCAGAAATGACTCCTCACGGAGCTAGTCCCAAATAAGCACAGGTACTCGAGTTGTGGATGCACACTGCTGAAAAGTCCTATACCAGGACGAAACAGCCGTCCAGTGCTTCCAGGTTTCTAATGGTGGTCTAAAATTGATTGATTCATGATTTCAATGATTCAATACTCTCCTACGATAAATTTCTAAAGATAGAAACTGTAGATAAAAGATAAAAGCTAAATTACACTTATAAAAATCTTACACGTTGTTTAGAACGATCCAGATAACGTAGACCGAAATAATCTTTTTCAATAATTCCACCTAATCGTTCTATCACTTGATTGAATAATACACGACCAAGACAATCATTCTATGTATAAAGAAAATATATAAAATAAAGTTTAAGGAAAATTATCGATTAATTTAGTAATATTGGTCAGAACTTCTACAATTTACAGTTTGATTTGCTTTACTTCAGGAGTTTGAGGCAGTATCACTCAGAATAGGGAATATTCGTAGTATACTAGTATCCCGTCAAAAGTATCAATAAAGCATTTCATGTATAATTACAGAATAATGAGCGAATATTCTCAAAGTAAAATCAAAAATACTTAGTGAAGATGGCCAACAGGCTGATAAGGTAATTAATCCCTATTATCTGAGGTGGCTGAGACATATATTACATATGCCCATACACTACTTACCTTGAATGATTGTGATAAATGGTATAGTAGTAGTAGTAGTAGTAGTAGTAGTAGTAGTAGTAGTAGTAGTAGTAGTAGTAGTAGTAGTAGTAGTAGTAGTAGTAGTAGTAGTAGTAGTAGTAGTAGTAGTAGTAGTAGTAGTAGTAGTAGTAGTAGTAGTAGTAGTAGTAGTAGTAGTAGTAGTAGTAGTAGTAGTAGTAGTAGTAGTAGTAGTAGTAGTAGTAGTAGTAGTAGTAGTAGTAGTAGTAGTAGTAGTAGTAGTAGTAGTAGTAGTAGTAGTAGTAGTAGTAGTAGTAGTAGTAGTAGTAGTAGTAGTAGTAGTAGTAGTAGTAGTAGTAGTAGTAGTAGTAGTAGTAGTAGTAGTAGTAGTAGTAGTAGTAGTAGTAGTAGTAGTAGTAGTAGTAGTAGTAGTAGTAGTAGTAGTAGTAGTAGTAGTAGTAGTAGTAGTAGTAGTAGTAGTAGTAGTAGTAGTAGTAGTAGTAGTAGACTGGAAGTAAGCTGGGGATGAGCCATTTAAGCTTTACATCGATCCATGAAGTTACTGGCAATCGGAATGAGCTGTGTAGGCCTATTCAGTCTATTTTATAGGAGTCTGTATGATGATTGTATGTGGTGGTTGAAGACCACTGAGTGACATGGCTCTAAATCTATCAAAATTACACTGATACACTCATCTTTGTCTTCTCTTAGATCCTGACTAACAAAATCCTCTTATACATTTTTTTCTGGCTAACATTTTACATTACTACTGATACTTAAAATACTTCTTCTACTCTGGAATTTGTTCAGCGACAATAAGGACTGGTATATGTCAAGTATGAAACTACTGCCTCAATATTCCCATTTGACTACAAGTGTCTGTATTGTATCTCAGGATTACTTTACAAACTGAGATAAGAAACCAATAATAAATTATCATTTCCAATCTAAAGCTATTAAGTTACTATAATAAATTAAATCAAATCTTTTCAACTATGAAGTGTATTCAACCATAGAAAATTTAAAAAAATCATTGTTTAAGTAACTAATTATTGTATTGGTAATGTGAAAAGAATATAGACATGCCAACTAAAACTAATCAAAATCTTATCCAAATATCAACAATGAGATAATACAAAACATTACATATCAATTTCAAGTGAAAAGTGTATTAAACTTTCAGTATTTAAGACACTAGGTTCTTCGAATCCTAGACTTAATATCAACTTCAGAATACAAAACACATCTTATTGACGAATCAGTAACAGGAAAAAATGTATATTCTGAAATCAAATACTGGTCACAGTCTATATATTCCGTTTAAGTATAGTTCTTAATACTTCAGCAAAGGTAAAAGTACTGTATTGTTCATACCTCATTTCAAAGACAATTAGTATACTAAGATGATTTACCACAAATTGTCGTAATAGTTTCACAGGTAATAATACTAGTAATTGTATTAAGTACAGAAAATGATGTACTTAAAAACTGTTCTTATAATATGTATTATATGATTTTTCAGTTAGAGTTGTGGAGATCAGTCTTTGGACAAGTTGAAATCATCAATCAATCATCATCAATGCACTGATGAGTCCCATAATAGGACGAAACGGAAGTCTGGTGCTTCCAGGTTTTTAATAGTAGTCTAACAGTGACTGATTGATGATTTTATCGTATATATTATATGCTAAAAAACTCCACCTGGAACCATTCTGCGGTTACTGACGATTCAAGGCCGGATAAAGGAGGAGATTCGGTCATGGGGTTAATGACCTCACTCTGTAGAAAATTGACTAGTTAAAAAAACATTGGCAAGAAAAAATAATTTGAAACTATTTAAACTCTGCCCTGGTAGTTAGAAGGTCTTTGATTAGAAGAGTTATGACATCTCCTGATAGAAACCTAGTTTCTTCAGAAGTAATGCGGCTGAGGCCCCTTCTGACAACCAGAGAAACCATTAATAAAGGCACATAGAAAGAATCTAACTGTTTCAAAAAACAAACTCTCACTTGAATATTTAAAGTGAAAGGAAAAGAGGAAAACCAAAAAACTTATTATGCCGAGAATTGGAATCAGACATGAGAAGAATGAGCAGCAATTGTGTTAAACTAGGATGGAGCACCCAGGACAGAACAGGTTGGAGAATACTGATCGGCAGCCTATACTCCATTAGGGGTAGACGGCTTAAGTTAGTAAGTAAGTAATATTTTCAAAAGTACATAAAATTAATAACCTACCATCCTACAACGAACGGTTACACCTTATTACTAAATTTTTCCCTTTTTTATTATTACTATTAATGTTATTAACAGTTGCACGGTATAATTGTAACTTTACCAGTTAATTATTTTAAAATTCTGTTTTTAAAACTTTTAGAAAATTACACTTCACAATTAGTTAATGAATTATTATCAAAATAGAATGCAACCGAAATGGTTTTGTTTTTCATCCAAATTCTCATGAACACACAGGAACATCAAAATGATGAGTTGAATAAAATCAAATAGTTGAAATAATAATGGTCCAATGGTTAGGCGTTCGCGCACAATACTGAAGGTTCCTGGTTCGAATCCTGCGAGGAGCAGGAGTCGTGGATGCGCACTTCCACTGATGAGTCCCATACAAGGACGAAACGGCCGTCCAGTGCTTCTTCCAGGTTTCTAATGGTGGTCTAACAATGATTGATTGATGATTGCAAATGTGTGAAAACACACAAACCTCCAAAACTCTGCCCAGAAATAATAATAGTTTAATGATGATAATAAGAATAATAATGATAAATCAATATGCTTGCATCATTGTGACTGATTTCTGATTGATTTCAATTTTCTTTATCAAAGAAATTATGATTATTTTTGCTTAACTAAAGCCTAGTTTTATGTTACATCACTTTCATTGTGAAATAATCACTTGCGAAATTTTATTCGAATATCTTTCATTCATAATTTTACTTCTTACCTACTTACGCCTGTTACCCTCAATGGAGCATAGACCATCGACAAGCATTATCCAATGTTCTAGGCCTTCTTTCTCAGTTCAGTCCAATAGGTGTTCATTCTTCTCATGTCTGCCACCATTTCTTGGCGTAATGTGTTCTAAGGTTTTCGTCTTCTCCTTTGGTCTTGGAGATTCCATATGACGGCATGTCCAATGGCTCAGTTGGATGCTTTGCTCAATGTTCGTCCTATCCACTTCCAGAGATTCTTCTTATTTTTCTTCCTCCACTGGAATCTTGTATGTTCTCTCGCACAACAGGTTGTTGCTGATGGTGTCTGGCCAACATATCTGAAGTATTTTGCGTAGACATCTGTTAATAAACGCTTATATCTTCTGGATAATGGTTTCCGTAGCTCTCCGAGTTTTCGCCCCATACAGTAAAACTGTCTTGATATTTGTACTGAAAATTGTAACTTTAGTGTTGGTTGATAGTTGTTTTGAGTTGTAGATGTTGTTCAGTTGTAGAAATGTTGTCCTCGCTTTGTCAATCCACGCCTTCACATCTTCATCAGATCTAGTTTTCTCGTCAATGATGCTGCCCAGATATCTGAAGGTTTTTACGTCCTTCAAGGCATCTCCATCATTCCCAATTATTTTTTATTAAAAACTAATCATTTACAACAATTAACTCCACCTGCAACCCTGCAGCTAGTATTACTTCCGGTCCTAGATAAAGGAGCAGAGTTGGGCATAGGGTTAGCGACCCTATCTCCCATAGAAATCCAACTTGCTAAAAACACGCTAACCAAAAAAAAATAATTCACTGATTGGCGGCCTATGCTTCATTAGGTGGTAACAGGCGTAATATATGTAAGTAAGTAATTTGCAAAAATTCAATAAGTTTGTATTTTAAAAATAATTTTTAAAAAAAAATAAAATAATTTTAGAAGAATTAAATAGATTGAATCGATACTATCTTTTAACTAATAATAACAAACTAAACACCCATACAATACTACTATTGTTACTACTTTCAATATATATAAAAATAATAATAAAAAAAAACTGGGAAAATGTATGTTATTGGAAACAAAAATGTCAACGCTACTCAATTAACCAATAGAATTCAACTTTCCAACTTAATCGATTACTAATAATAAGAGAGAGAGTGAGAGCACGAGAGAGCGCAAGATAAAAAGGTCTAAAAGGTAATTCATTACTTTAAGAAAACTCACTAAATTTTTTTTTTAAAAAAAAAAGGTATTACAGAAAAATCAATGTGTACATTTCCTGACACATGAGAAAATTTCTCAAAAACAACAGAACACAGTCATATAGTTAATTAATATAAATATATATAAAGTTATAGTATTCTATAAGATTAATTACTAACACGATATTCATTAGACTGGATGTATGATATATTTCTCTACTTGAATAATCAGATTTTGTAAGGAACGAAAAACACGAAACAGATGAAGCACCGAATGTATATAATACAAATTTCTAAAGTCTCACTGTTAAAATCAATGTAGATAAATTTTTTTTTTTGAACTTTTGGTACCGTTTCACATTGATTTGTCAGTATAGCGTTGTGAAGATAGTTGAGTCTCAGTGAAATCATGAATTAATCGATGTTAGATCACTATTAGAAACCTGGAAGCACTGAAAGACTACTATTTAGTTCAAGTCTGAGACTCGTAAGTAGTGCGCATCGACGACCTCAAAAGCAGGGATCGAACTCAGGACATTTAGTCTGGCGTGTGAACGCCTAAACGCTTGATTACTGAACTAACATCCAACGATCCAAAACAATCGCTATGTGTGGTGGTGTTTCGTTCTCTGAGATGGATGTTTTAGTTGTGGAGCTTTGATTGTTCTTCTGAACAACATCATCAGCACAAACTTCAGATGGAAGAAGTGAAGTATTCAAATTTCTCCACATAAGACTCGCAGCTTGTTCTATGAACCTCTATATTGACTGGTTGCTGTTGACCTTAAACCTGTCGTTCTTTACACCCTTATTTTGATTGTATCCCCCCTTTTGATCTGTTTCTTGATCGTCTGTTGACTATAATTTTTCTGATTTGTTGATAAATTGGGTTAATGTCGATGTGTTTGTTGATTGCTGATTGACCTGAGTGTCAAACTTCTAAAAATTCTCCAGTATTATTTGTCCTCCCCTATCCAATATTTCCACATTGTTCCAATCGAATGTATGTCCATAATTGTCGGTGTGGACTGATATAAGCGAAGAATTGTCCTGACGTTTGACTGCTAATTGGCGTTCACGTAAACGAAGATGAAGAGGCCGTCCACTTCGTCCTATATAGTGTTGTTCACAGTTTGAGCAATTTATTTTGTAGATGATATTTGGTTTTTCTTCCTTATTCATTTTGTCCTTTGGTCTACATAGGATTGATTGAAGTGGTTCTATTGGTTTGTGTGCCACACCTATTCCAAATGTTTTCAGTAGTGGCGCCGTTTGATCCGATATGTCTTTTATGTATGGTAGGAAAATCCGTTTATTGGTTCCTGTACTTGAGTTTTCTTCTGTTGACGATTTCGGTTGATGTTTTTTGATGAAGTTGCGTGGTTAGCCGTTCTTTTGGAAGATAGCCATAAGCGGTTTTTCCTCATTTTTTAGTGCTTCATATGTGCTGCAGTGTGTCTTCACTCTCTTGAACAGAGTTTGTATGCAGTTGATTCTGTGGGTTCTTGGATTGTTGCTACCGGAGTTGAGAATGACCTCTGTGTGGGCTGGTTTCCGAAATACTTGAGTTTCCAGTTTTCCTGTGTTAGTTCTGGAGATTAGTACATCCATGAACAATAGACTGTTGTTTGATTCCTTTTCCATGGTGAACTTTATGTCGTCAAAGTAATTGTTGATCGTATTGTAGATGTTCTCCAGCTCGTTACTTGTCTACATAGCGAACCCATATTTTTGGTTTGACCACCGGTCAAACCGACGCTTCTAGTCTCTACATTACAGCTTCCGCGATGAGTCCTGACATTGGTGATCCCATTGGTGTTCCTTTTATTTGTTCGTAGACTGTGTTGTTGAATTGAAAAAACATTGTTAAGCATAGATCGATGAGTTCTAGCAGATTTTAGCTCTGAAGCTTTGTATATATTTGCAGATTCGTGCCGTTTGTGAGGATCAGAGAGAGTTTCCTTAGCTAAGCTGGGCTCTGTTGAGGTGAATAAGGCTGTTACGTCGAAGGATATCATCGTTTCGTTGTTTTCGATTTGAACCCCCTTGAGTTTATGCACCTGAGCTACAAATTTTCTCCACTATACGTCAACAGGTGACTGCATCCCATTATTGACATTCACATTGAGACTCGGACCGATTACACTACGCGTCAAATACAACACGTTATCAGTCGAACTACTGAAACCAAATAGCATCTTACAACGGAATGGCCTATAAGACTCATCAAAATGTTATACACCTAATAGTAGAGAGATTTATTTGCTATTATTTGGTGTAAGACTTCACAACTGACTATTTTAACATTTCGAACAAGAAAAAGATATAATGTTCAAGTTAACCTATTAGTTTTTGATAAATTCAAATTAAAACGAACGTATAAAATGATAAAACACATTAAACTATTTGTATATCTGAATTTTTATATTCATAAGCTATAACCATGAAAATAAATTAGAATTCATAATATGTCCTCATTTTATGAGTCTCTCCTTTTTTTTGACGGGGCATCACTTATAAATGAATCATATTTTACAACAGATCCGGAAACAAATATACTGTTTTTTATGAAAGATTTATGAAACACCTATGTAACGAATGATATTTGATATGAAACCGGTAGAGCTCTTTGACATGAAATCAATTGACGATATGACTTCTGAGGAATGAAATATATGTTTGTGAATTAGTAGAGTGTTTGTTCTAGACAGTTTGAACGAAATTAAACAATATGTAGGATTGTTTTCTTTTAGTTCCCTTATTGATCGGATGATCAGTATCAGAATATGACATTCACTAAGGATGATGACACAGTTCTAATCTTTCACACTATTTTTTGGTCTGTTTGTCTCTTTTCCTCCACCAAATTGAGATGTTCAACAGTGCTCTCTATCTAAGAGAAGACTTATTATGTACTGAACTTTTAATGATTAGCAACAAAGGAATCCCTATTTTCAAAAGTCGTATTTCCATATTCTACTTTTATCTAATCAATATTAAATTGTAAGGTCAGTCAGTCATCTACAATGTAGAACTTCGAACGTACGTACATCAGTACAAGTTACCATACCACATTAGCACAGGGATGCAACTGTCACTGTAAATCCCATTGTAGTAGAGGCAGTAATCGAAGAGATTAAGGTTCGAAGATATTATTCAAGAAGTATAATTCAGTGAAATAAATTTAAAAAGGGAAAGATAGAGGTGACGAGAAATTCAGAAGGTTAGAATTAGATAGAACATAATGAATGAATTCACCTGCGCCATTTCAAACGATTTTCAGTCGTGTCGTTCAAGATCTCTAACCATTGGTGACTTTCGTCTCGCGGACCCCAACCAGGTAGCCTACATCTACCAATATGACTCAGTCCCCTTGTCAGTGACTTCATGGAATTGTGCCATATTTTGGTTTGGCCTCCCTTCGCTCTCTTTCAACCTACTCCTACACCACAAAACATTGCTCGTTGAGGCAGTAGGTGGCTGGGCATACTAAACACATGTCTCAACTACATCAACTGAAGTTTCACTACTTCATCTATTGACTTGCCATCCTTCTTAACTATAGCATTGCTTTCTCGGTTGTCCTCGGATACATGAGCAATGCTGCTAAGACATCTACAATCGAATACTAATAACCTACGGATGTCCTCTACTCCTACCGGCCATGTTTCGCATCAATATATTAGAACGGAGAGAACTACTGCGCAGTACATTTTACCTTTAGTTAACAAACGGATATCTCGCCTACGTCATAAGTGACGCACATTCTCATAAGCCAATCGAGTTGAATCATTTCACTTGATTTTATCTAATTGGTAGTTGAAGATGAACAAATATAATCAATAGAGGACTGATAGTTTAGCTTTTGAAAGTTTATTTCGCGCTCAAAAATTATTTCCTTTTGTATACAGTACATTTTTTCAAAACACACATAACATTACATTACAATAAGCCTGTTACAGCTAGGCCGCCGAACAGCGAATTATTTTTCTGTTTAGTTTTTTTAACCAGTTGGATTTCGATGAGATGTGGTCTCTGAACACACTATGCCCAACCCTCCTTCTCTATCTGGGCCTGGGATCGGCAGTAATCCTAGAAAGGCTCCAGGTAGATTTGTACCATAAGACGAATAAAAGTATATCACTTCCAATTAATCATATTATTTTACATGTACTTACCAAATCAAGTACAATAAAAGGATAAAAGGATGATTATCTATAGGTCTTGTCTAACATATTCAAAAACAGCCTGTCTTTGAGAAAATTATGCTCTTTGACTAATATCTAATTTAGTCAGAGTAAAGTGAATACCATGAACACATACATAAAAAGGAACAAATAACCCGATTTCTGATGATAAAAGTTAAGTAAGCCAAAGTAATTTATAAATCGTAAATATGATCTTTGTATACAATTGAATTAGTAGTTAACCTTCATCTGCTTTATTAAACAAAGTATTTTCAGTTGATTATAATGAGAATCCATTAGGTTAATATCGCCGATCTGATATGCTTATAGTTACTAATAGTTCACCTTCTTCTGCAAATGAAACAAAGTTTAACGATACAGTGACACGATAAGACTATTCTAAGCCAATTGTCCCAGGCCTCGCTAACTAAAGGAAGAAGTCTAAATCCTTAACATTTTTGTAATCATCAGGTTGTTGAAAATTTGAAGTTTTATCAAAATCATGAATTGATCAATATTAAACCATCATTAAAAATCTGGAAGCCCTTTATGGCAATTTCATTCCAAGTGTGAGACTCATTAGCTATGTGAACCTACAACCACGAAAACAGGAACCAAACCCAGGATATTCGACTTTGTATGTGAACGCTTAACCTCTCTGAATCACTGGGCCGTCTATTCCCTGCTTTCAGGTTTCCGATGGTGCTCTAACATTGATCGGTTGATAAATTCAATGAAACCCCTAGATTTTTGTGTGTCATTAAGTAATGAAATTCATCATAAAATATTCGAGAACTGACATTTCATGTATTTATAAACAACCAGTTTTAAAAATTTAATTTTTAACGACATTTAGATACTACAGTCCTTAATTTTTATTTTTGTACAGTTCATTTTGTTTAAATTGTGACAGAAAATCCTAGGTTTGTTTCCTAGATGTAGGATAGTCGATTCACACTGCTGAGGAGTCCTGTACTCGGAAAAAACAACCATCGAATGCTTCTGGGTTTCCTATGGTGGTCTAAATAAAATCAGTTCATGATTAAAAATATAAAACTACCGCAATTCCTGAAAATACTCCTTATACTAATGAATTCATTTTGTATAAATTTCAACTTACAATACGAACAATTCAAAATGACTAAATTGATTAGTTTGTTGATGAAAACCTGTAGAAAATGTTACGAAATACCTAAATGAATTGATGGTATTCTGTAAATTTTAGACACTTCCTTCCTTTATTAAAACTTCATTAGTAATTACATTTTAATAACTAATTTATCAAATATATCTTATGTAAGAAAATATATAATATCTTGAGATATAAACATTAAACTAATGTTTTATTGATTTATTCAATTCGACTGATGGAGATCAGTGTTTTTAAACATTGAAATCATCAATCACTCATTGTTAGACTACCATTAAAAACATGGAAGCATTGGACGACCGTTTAGTCATGGTATTGGACTCATCAGCGGCAGTGCGCATCTACGACTTCTGCTACTCGCACAAACTGAACCCAGCGTTTTCAGCCTTTCAGTGTGTAAATCACTGACCTCTATAACTTTAATTGAAAAAATCGTATAATGTGCTCACTGGTAACTAGCTTCGTGAGGAAATTTTCTGAGTTATAATAAGGAGACGTGATCAGTGGAGTTCAACCCTGTCAGGTGTAGGCAGCAGCTACCGAAGACAAATGGGTGGGGTGGCGCAAAATCCCTAGATTAATCCGAGTACCACTTTAACACCTCTGGACGCCGGCTTAGTGGTGCAGAGTTTGGCGTTCGCGTGCAGGACCGAAGGTCTTGGATTCGATTCCTGCAAGTTCCAAACCAGGACTAAACGGTCACCCAATGCTTCCAGGTTTCTAATGTTTGTCCATCAATGATTGACTGATGATTTCAATTTGTAAACTTTATGATTCATTAAAGTATATATATTTATATATTTATATTCTTCTGAACAAACTTACTGTAACTTCCATTTGTAATGGTACTTCTTCATCACTCAGTAATTTAATTTCAACCATAAAAAATCCAGCATTTCCATCCATATTTTCATGTGATAAAGTACCAGTTGGTGATTTTGAAGTTAAATTCGATGATGTTGGATGCACTGACCAACTGACTGATGGAATTCGTTCAGAACAATGTTCTGATTGAATTGTCAATGATTTTGTCGGATATGATGTATCTGTGGAATTTGAAAATGGTTTTGTTGCATTATTGCGAACTTCACTTTGAGATCTAAAATGATAAAAACAATTAAGTAAGTGCTAAATGAATATTTTATTCATAAAATACACAAAGTTTTTATAACCATTACCCGTAATGCAATTACCTGTACCTACTAGTGACTAGCTCGGTGAGGAATCTTTTCCGAGTTCTAGTGGGAAGTCGCGAACAGTGAAGTTCAGTCTGTTCGGGTTTAGACAGTAGCTACCGAAGACTGTGTATGAGGTTACGCAACTCCGTGAATCGATCGAAGTTAAACATTAACACTGTTAGACACCGGCTCAGTGGTCCAGAGTTCAAGCGTTCGCGCGCAAGACCGAAGGTCCTTGGTTCGAATCCTGCGAGGTGCAGGAGTCGTGGATACGCACTGCCACTGATAAGTCCCATACCAGGACGAAATGGCCCTCGTCCAGTGCTTCTAGGTTAGTGATAGTGGTCTAACATTGATGCATTCATGATATCAAATGTGTAACTTAACAATCTTCACAACCTCGTAATGTATTAACTGGCATACACAAATAATTAATGTGTATACAGCGAATGATAAACACTACCTATGTATAGAATGCATGAAATCACACAGTCTATCTAGATGCATTTTTTCTTCAATAAATAACAATAAATTTCTGATTCATGTCATTATTCTAATAATTTTAGATTTAGTCGACCAAACATTCGGTAAAATAATAAATAACAATGTCTATACTACTAATGTCATGTCAATAAACTTAATAAACAAATATCAACAAATCATAAAATATTTAAATAATGCTTTAATAAATAAATAAATAAATGTGAAAAGAATTTATTTTTTGAACAACAAATAATGATAAAAAGTAAATTTACTACGTAGATAGTTCAGTAACTTTATTTCATAGAAATATATAGTTAGAGAGAAAGCGAAAAGTAAAATAAAAACTGTGTATACAAGAAACATTAAAACAGTGTTATACATCAACTTCATTGACTACAAAAAAGCATTCGACAGCATAGACAGGATGACACTATGGTGTGCCTAAGAAGATAGTCAACATCATACGGAATTATAAAATCGTGCACAGTGGACAGCTCACAGACTCGTTCAAGGTGAAGATCAGGTGTCAGGCAAGGTTGTATACTCTCAGCCTTTCTTTTTCGTTTACTGATCGACTAGATTATGAAGCTGTCATTATCTGGGGGAAACACGGAATACTGTGGACACATAAGATACAACTGGACGATCTAGTCTCTTCAAATGATCTGACTCTTCTATCCCACACGCAAAGACAAATACAAGAGAAGATGACTAGTGTAGCAGCAGCTTCAGCAGCAGTAGGTATCAACATACATAAAGGGAATAGCAAGATCCTCCTATATAACATAACATATTCCAACCCATTTATGTAAAAGCGTTTACATATTTGGACAGCATCACTGATGATCAAGGTGGATGTGACACAGGTGTGAAAGCGCAAATCGGCAGAGGAATGGTTGCATTTTTACAAATGAACAACATCTGGAACTCAAAACAACTATCAACGAATACCAAAGTCGCAGTTTCTAAAACAAATGTCAAAACAGTTCTACTGTATGGGCTGAAACTTGGATAATTATCAAAGCCATCATCCGAAGATACAAGTGTTTACTAAAAGTTTTGTGATCAAAATAATTTGGACTCGTTGGCCAGAAACCATCAGCAACAACCTGTTGTTGGAGAGAACAGACCAGATTCAAGCGGAGGAAGAAGTCAGAAAGAAATGCTGGAAATGGATAGGACAGTGTAGGGTTCGTCACTAGGTACGCTTGAAGCTATTACGAGTTCACCTTAGTCGATAAACAAGAACGGGACAATTACCGGCGTCCAGATAGACTACCTTGAATCCCAAACTGCGAAACAGAAGTCTTGATAAGCGTAGAAAGTATATTCTACAAACACCCAGCAGTCACAATACAATCAAGCACACAACTCTCGTTTATTTATACATCATAGAAACGTCCTTGGGACAGTTAAGAAAATAACACACTTAAATACACACCAGCCAATCACAGCCATGGATTTTCCTGTTAGGAATTGAAATCTCAAGGTCAACTGATCAGCCCATTCAAACAAACGTGAAATCCGAAATAAGGCATTTATCAAGCAAGTTCTGGGGATCTAACAGACACACATTGAGGAAAGCACACAGCTTCATCAGAAGGCAAGCCCTCACTCGGAATTATAAAGATCGAAAGTAAATAGGAAAGCTATGTATCACATCACGCCGAAAAATGGTGACAAACATAAGAAAAATGAACAAAAATCGGACAGAATTGAAAATGAAGTCCTAGAAATGAGACTGGAGAATGCTAGTCGCCAGCCTATGCTCCATCGGGGGTAACAAGTGTAAATACTTAAGTATAACAGTGTTTTATAAAATAGATCATTTGTAACTAGTGGTTGAATTCAAGAAGCATGTCTTATTTTGAATTCTATCAGAATATACCTGTATCTCAGTGTTAATATTCACATTAAGAATAGAAACCAATATTCTTGCGTCAGATATATTCAACACATAATATTCATCGAGATACTAAATTCTATTCAAACTCTAACCAAAAATAGTTATGGAAGACAGTTGAGCTCAGAATGATGAGCCATAAAATAATCTTTATCCATTTAACTGAATTATTAGAATTGACCATTGGTTGATGAGTTATTCAATATAAACATTCTGTAGTACTGCATATAAAAAGCTTATCATTATAATCTCAGATGCATTAAAGTGTTATTTATACTGTACTCTTATTATCTAACCAGTATTTAACTATCAATTCAACAAATACAGTTAATTCGATATAAATATATATGTAATCAATAATTTTAGTTATCCTTTCAGGTCATCAAATGGGCAGGTCCATATTTGTAAACGGGCACTACACAGCTTAGATAGATATTTTCACTGTGTAACGATTGATTGAGTCTGGTATGTATATGTACATATATGTATATATATATATGCATATTTCAAGTAAATATCTAATAAAGTTCGTCTGAATTAAATCATTTCATCATTACAGGTTGACGCCCAAAGTCAAGTTTTTATTAAGGAGAGAAAAAACAACAAAAAAAACAACAGTATTCTCACAAATTATGTGCATAAACTTCAAGGCATTAAGTTTGTAGTTGAAATTTTAAAGGCGAATTTATTTCACTTGCCATTGAGTTTCATTGAATTTCACCTTTTATGTTTGTGTTTATATGATAAAAAAAA